ACATAATGCATGTGCCATTTCAATACGTCGTCTACGTGTTAAATAATGATTTGTATGAAATTCTTTTTCCAATTCCAGTGTTTGATATCGGGTATATGTTTGTCGGCCACGTCGCCTTAACCCTGTAGCACCGGCTAATCCTAAATCCGAAAAGCCAGAAAAACCAGAAAAAAAAACAAAAAACAAAAAAAAAATTATAAATTTCAAAAAGCAAAAAAAACTTTGAAAAATTGAACAATTAAGTGCGCAAGCGCAATTCATTTTTTTTCTCGTTTTTTGCTACATTATAGTGCCAGAAAATTACAAAAATAAAACACACATACTTTCATACATGCTACTACCCACTACCGTCTACCTACGATCATTGACAAAATCTTTTATATAGAACATATCTCGAAACAAACAAACAACGCCCTGTAAAAAAACGGGCAAAAAAATTCCAATCAATTTCGTCAACCCGAAAATCGATTGATTGAAAAAATATTGATCAAATTAAACGAAAGAAGAAGACGAAAATTTACATAGAATTTTAGAAATATTGTAGCAAAAATGTAAAGAAATTTAAATGTTTTTTCTTTACAGAATATAAGTATCCATCCAGTAAAAAAAAATAAAGTAAAGAGCAAGCAAGAAATGATCATAAAAAAATTGATGATGATGATGATGATGATCATATTTAAACTATCAAAATAAAGAAAATAAAAAATGTTTGAACCCCAACTGAAACATTATTTTACGATGTTATTTTATTATCATCATCATCATGATGATGATCATTGAGAGAGAGAGAGGAAAAATGAACTTTTTTTTTCCTTACTTCAACGTTAAATAAGAATCCAAAAGTAAGTTTTTTTTCTTTCTCCGGTTTGATCATCCAAATATGGATGATGAAAGTGAATGATTTTCTTTCATTGGAAAATGTCACGTTTTTGAAACAGCGAAAAAAAATGTAACTTGATTTGAACACAATGTATATCATCATCATCATTGAATGATCCACGAAAGAATCTTCGAATATTTTCATCAACGAATTTTCGCGGGGAAAAAAATTGTAAGGAATAACCAAAATGAAATTACCGAATTGAATCAAGATCGGGAATCAATCAAGATTTTTACGATCTTTTTTATTTTATTTTCTACTTTGGATGCTTGACTGACTGACTGATCAACTTGAAAACTAAAAAAAAAACTAAAATTCGTAACAAACAAGCAAAAAAGAAAGATTTTCTGTTCGTTTTATGATGATGATAAACATCGATAAAACGACGATAACGATGACGACGACAATTCATCCGAATCATTTTAAACATTGCTGTGGATGTCGAACAACAACAACAATAACGATAACAACGATAATGACAATGACAAAGACCTTTTTCATCGTTGTTTTAATCATCATCATCCCCATCATTATCATCAAGGGTTGAATAAATTTAATTGAAAAACAAAAAAAATAAAACATTCAAGTCGGCTTGTTGATTGACAATCATCATTATCATTGTCAAATTATCATCACATCATTAATTGACAGGTAGAAAATGTTGATGATCATCATCAAGGTAAAATTGTAATTAAAGAACATGCAAACAAACAAAATAAAGGTAATTTTATTCAGGTAGAAAATGTTGTTAACCGAAAAAACTAAATACTAACCTGCAATAGCCATCCATGGATAAAATGTATTCGGTCCAGGACCAATACCACCAACCGAATTCATTGCATTCGCATTGCAACATGCAGCCGACCATGCATCAGTTACAGCTGAACGTTGACATGCAGCTGCTGCTGCAGCCGCATCAAACGATGAACGCATTGCCATCGCATCCATACCCGAATTTGACATTAATCCACCAGCACCACTATTTCCACCCATATTTACACCATTATTTTGATTACCATTTCCACTACCAACACCAATAATATTATTACCAATCAAACTATTATGATTTGATTGTGTTGATGTTGATGATGATGATGATGGACGTAATGATTGTTGCCAAACATTGGCTATTTGTTGATGATGATTATGATGATTGAGATTATTATGGTGATGATGCGAAGATAAATGATTATTCTGATGATGATTCGAATGAGTATTCTGATGATGATGACTATGTGAATTATGATGGTTATCCGTTGATGATGATTTATATGAATTATCATTTTTATTATTAGCGGAATTCGTTGATGATGATAGCGGCGGTGAATCGATTGATTTGAATGCGGCTGCTGCTGCAGCAGCTATTGCTGCATTATCAGTTGCATATAATTTACATGCAGCATCAACATAATTATTTGTTGCTGTTGCGGTTGTTGTTGTAATTAGATCATGATTTGTAAGTAAAATATTATTATTATTATTATTTATTGATTGACCATTTTGTTGTTGTTGTTGTTGTCTGGAACTTGCGTTATTCGTAATCGCTGATGATGATGTTGGATATGATCCTGTTGTTGATGATCCGGATGATGTTGATGATGATGAACCGGATGATGAACCGGTTGCTGCAACAGCGGCTGCAGCAGCAGCCGCTGTTGGCATTAATGATAATGCAGCTGATTGTGAAAAACTACGATATGCAGCTTGATGTGCTTCAGCTGCTGCTGCTGCATTATAAAAACCATTTGCCGCAGCAGCGGCTGCGGCTGTTGTTGATGAATGATCAAAATAAGCTGTGTTCATCATTTTTTCTGTCGGTTGTTTGTTTGTTTTTTTGTCCATAGAATAATGATGAATTTGAGAGATGATGAAGAAGATCAAAACAAACACACACACGCAAAATACACAAAAAAAACACACAAAATCAAGCAACCAAACACAAAACACACAGGTAAAAGAAAAAACACTTAAAACAAACAATATCAAATACGAATGCAGGTTTTTGGGGCCCGAATATTATTTTAATTATCCGTCAGTTGAAAAATTTGGTCGTAAAAAAAATTCTGAATGAATATTGAGGTTCCAAAAATGCTGATTATGATTATGATGATGAGAATCTAAGAGAGATACTTTGTTGTTGTTGTCGTTATTATTATTGCTGTTTGATTATATCATCATCATCATCATCATCATCGTTTGATGTGAATTTGAGGCCTAACCGAACAGAAAAAAAACAACAAAACAAAACAAAAAGAGAAAAAAAATGATTGCATAAAAACATAATAATCTTTTCTCGTTTTTTACCATTAGATTTTCGGTTTGAACAACAAACTTTCGTGAAGAAGGAAAACAATGTTATGTAATGTTTGCTTCAGCCAGTCAAAAAAGGTCATCAAATTGAAATTTTTATGACCATTTTCTGCTTGTTTCAAATAGTGGTCGATTATTCGGTGGTTGGTTGTTTGGTTTGATTATTTTTTCCAAATGACCAAAAAATGTTATCTCGCTCAGTGTCTCTCTCGGTGTTAAATTCAAATTCAGACAAAGATGATTATGATGATGATGATGAGGCTTTTAAACAAAAAAAAATCGATAATAAAATTAACGATAAATAAAAAAAAAACGCATAAAGTTTATGACTGGGGAAAAATATTTTCGGCAATCAAA